CCACAGGATTTCCATGGCTAACTTTTTCTCAAGGTGATTCTATTCATGGTGCTGCATGTGTGTCAAAGTAGAACTGTATTCCTAACTTTTCCACTGGCTCATTTTTCAATAGTATCTGATTAAAGAGTTTTTTTTCCCAAGCAACTCTGGGTGGACTCGAATCTGCAACCTTTTGAGCACTCCCTACAGACTCCTTCTAGTCAGTTAGTTAAATTAAAGACCTTCTCCGTCAATTCCTGTATCCCTGTGTTTTATATATAAAACAAAATACTTCTGGGTTAATTCTTGGATTATTAACTGCAAAATGGGCAGTTCAACCCCGCCAGCTGCTCCACTGGAGAAAGAAGTGACCACAGTTTGCTTCGGTAAAGCTCTGCATCTTAGAAAGCGTGTGGGTCAGTTCTGCTCCATCTTGTAGGGTTGGGCTGAGTCCGAATGGGCTGCGTGCCGGTGCGTTGAGCGGCGATGTGTCCGAATCTGTCAGGTACTGAAGTCCTAAAGAAGGTCCATGTGGATTACAGTGAGATTCATTACTTTGACCTTCCGCCTTCCTCTCCACCCTGCTGACCTTGTCTTTCCCCCATCTCTGCATCACCGGCACCCCTGGGCCAGCTGATCCACACCCTCTTTGCCCCCTTCATGTTGATGGTATAGTTTTCATTTCGGCGCCTCCCAGCAGCCCTCTGCCCTGGCAGCGAGAGTGGCAGCTGGCTCCACTTTTGAGGGTTCTGCTTCCCAGCATGTCTGCAGTTAGCAAGTTCTAAATGAACCATCTTGCTCTTATATTTAAATACAGCTTCAGATGACATTGCCAATGGGCTCTCTTTAAGTGTTATTATCCATGTGAAGAGTTTTAAGGGAAACACATTGACTAATTGTTTTCATTAGTTTGGTGACAGGCCAGGGCAATGCCAGTCAAAAAGCAGCAAGTCTTCTTTAAATTTGAACTCTGAGCAAGTGGGAGCCCAGGACACAGCAGCAGCTTGCTCTGAGCCCAGTCTTAGGGGGTCTCACCTCCCATTGTGTCCACATATGTTTCATTGTGGCTTTGAACCCCATTGCCTTCCAGATCGCATGCAGATGTCAGCTTTGAGCTATTCAATTTCTGATTTGGACATACACTCCCTGCTGTCCCAGTAGATAGTGTGGAGAGTGGGGATGCTGCCCCATACCCTACAGTGCACAGGACAGACCCCACCACAGAGAATGACCAGTGGGTGCAGACCAGGGATGCTGTCCCACACCCTACAGTGCACAGGATGACCCCCACCATAGAGAGTGATCAGTGGGTGGAGACCAGGGATGGTGCTCCACACCCTACAGTACACAGGATGGTCCCCACTACAGAGCGTGACCAGTGGGTGCAGGCCAGGAATGCCGCCCCACACCCTACAGTGCACAGGACGGTCCCCACTACAGAGTGTGACCAGTGGGTGCAGACCAGGGATGCTACGCCACACCCTACAGTACACAGGATGGCGCCCACTATAGAGCGTGACCAGTGGGTGCAGACCAGGGATGCTGCCCCCCCACACCCTACAGTGCACAGGATGGCGCCCACTATAGAGAGTGACCAGTGGGTGGAGACCAGGGATGCTGCCCCACACCCTACAGTGCACAGGACGGTCCTCACCACAGAGAATGACCAGTGGGTGGAGACCAGGGATGGTGCTCCACACCCTACAGTGCACAGGACGGTCCCCACTACAGAGCATGACCAGTGGTTGCAGACCAGGGATGGTGCTCCACACCCTACATTGCACAGGACGGTCCCCACTACAGAGAGTGACCAGTGGGTAGAGATCAGGGATGCTGCCCCACACCCTACAGTACACAGGACGGTTCCCACTACAGCGAGTGACCAGTGGGTGCAGACCAGGGATGCTGCTCCACACTATATAGTATATGGGATCTTTGGGGTAAAAATATAAATGGTAGCACTAGTGTATGTTGATGATACAGAAGGAGAAAGCAACAAGATAAAAGGTTGTTGTCATGGAGATGATTACGCTTGCAGGCAGCCCCTACAACAGAGCAGATGGCCTCACAGGGTTTCCTAGGCTGCCATGTTTATGTACGCAGATTGCCAGGTCTTTCTTACATGACACCATTGGGTTCAACGTTCCAACATCTGGGCAAGTAGACAAGAGGAAACCATTTATTCCACCCAGGAAGGAGTGTTGATATCCCCAAGAATCAAGTTTTAGAGGTCACACTTTTTTATCTCTTGTTCCATCACTAAAAGAACATTAAATTTGATCCACAGTTTTCTTTTCTGTAAAGACCTCAGTTCTCTGATGCCTTGTCCTTTTTTTGTCACGTGAAGACAAAGAGACATGATTCATTTCAGGTCTCCCAGTTGTTTTTGCTGTCTTACAGCCTCATATGTGATTTGTTAAGCTGCTAACTGTAACGTCAGCAGTTTGAATCCACCAGCCTCTCTGGGGGAGAAAGATGAGGCTTTCTGCCCCCGTAAAGATTGACAACCTCAGAAGTTCTACACGGGGCCTCTGTGAGTCGGAACCAACTCGATGGCACACAACCACTATGAGTCAGAACCAACTCAAGGTCACCTAACCACACAGCATGCTAACTTTCTCCAGAAATGGATCAAAGTTGCAGAAACGGCCGATCTGAACATTATGTAGGCAGCGATGGGTCACGGTGTTTAGTGTCTACATTACATTGGATCACCTTCCGTCCATCCTTCCCCCTGCATTCCTCTCCCCACCACCCCCACCATTCTTGTGACGTTAGGAAAACATTTCCACAAGAGCACTGTGGACATGAAGCGATGTCAGGCAGGCTAACTGCGCATCACCCACGTGGATTAAAACTATCCCGGGTGTCTTCAGAGCGGTGACATCATTCCAACGTTTGCCTCAACAGGCTCACTGTCCTTTTTTCGTGGTAGAAATGAGTCTTTCGTTGACAGACCATATTTCTCCAGTGCTCTTAAACATTGGCTTTTCATAGCGGTGTGATTTATCACCGGCTTCGAGGAGAGGGCCTGTTAGGTATAAGATATATGTATATAACAAACTCTTCTGTGAACTTTCCTTTACCATTTGTAAATGAAACTTATCTCTACGTTTTGGTAGAGCTGAGTTTCATTTACAAATGGCAAGGGAAAGTTCACAGAAGAGTTTGTTTCCTTCGTTTAAAAGCATCTCAAATATTTTGCTGTGAAGTCAGAAAAAGAATATTCTGAGATGCATAGACTCATCTGCTTCTGAGTGTGTATAATGAAAATTCTCACAAGCATATGCACCAGTCCAGCGGTATCTCTGTGGAACAGTCAGTGATGCTGAAGACATCCAGCGTTCTTGTTACCTTCTTCCAAAAGATCGTACCACCGTTACCATGAACTCAATGCGGCTAGGATGAACCTCCCCTCGCGCCTCCTCCCCTCCCCTTCCACCCTTGGTGGTGGTGGTTGTTCGGTGCCATTGAGTCAGATCCAACTCATAGTGACCTTGTGTGTCGCAGCCAATCACTGCCTGACCCTGTACCATCTTCACAATTGATTTTGTGTAAACCCATGGTTGTAGTCACTGTGTCAGCCCATCTCAATGGAGTGTGGGGGGGGGTCTCCCTCTTTTTCCCTGACCCTCTACTTTTCTAAGCATGATGTCCTTCTCTAAGGACTGGTCCTTCCTGACAACCTGTCCAAAGTATTTGAGGCAGAGTGCCCTCCATCGTCCCTTTAAGGAGCCATCTTGGCTGTTCTTCCTCCAACACGGTTGTCTCCTACCCTTGATGTTGTTGTTGTTGATAAATGCTATAGAGTCCATTTCAACTCTTAACAACTCTGTATAGGATTTCCAAGATGCGGCTGGTGGGTTAGCAGGCCAGTGTTTATCCTACAGCGCCACACCAGGACCCCTCCTACCTGGTACCTTTTTATAGTTTTTGATTTCTGCAAACTTCCTCGTTTCAAATAAGTAAGGTCTGTTTGTGGTTGACTTTGTGCACTGGGCATGCCATGTGCTGGGGCCTTCTCTGGGCTCTGTTTCTCTCTCTGGTGTGGTCACGTCGTGCTGTGTGGATGGGCCACGTGTCTGTCTGTTGGCTGGGTATTGAGCATCTCTGATCTTTCCACCTTTCAGCGACTGTCAACAATGCCTGATGCTGTGAACACTGGAGGGCTCGTTTCGGGTTGATTCCCACCCCTTACCTCTGGCTCTTTACCTAGGTTTGGGATGACTTGTTGTTGATCATTCTGTGCACAGCTTAGCAAGGAGCCACGATGCCAAACTGTCTCCCACACTGACTGCACCGTCTTCCATTGCCGCCAGCCGAGGATGAAAGTCCTCATTTCTCTCCAAGTTTTCCGGCACATACTCTTGTCCTTTGCCTTTCTTTCATGGTTTTTTTTTTTTTTTTTTTCATCATTGCCATTCACATAAGAGTCGTGGTGTGGCACTAGACTGCTAACCACATGACTGGCATTTCAAACCCACCAGACACTCCTTGGAGTCCTGGTGTGGCACTGTAGGAGAAGCACTCGACTGCAAGGTCAATTTGAAACACAAGGTCAGCAGTTCAAACCTACCAGTTACTCCTTGGAAACCCTATACAGGGTCGCTGTGAGTCAAAACCAACTTGACGGCACTTAACAACAACGAAGCCACTTCTTGGAAATCCTATACAAGGTCACTGTGAGTCAGAACTGACTCAGCGGCACTTCACAACAACAATAACTTTCTCACAGACATGAGGCAGTATCTCATTGTAGTTTTGATTTGCATCTCCCTACCACAGTGGTGCTGTGGGTTACTGCACTGGACAGCAAAATCTGTTTGAACTGCAAACTCAGTGGTTCAAGCTCACCAGCTACTCCTTGGAAACCCTATCCAGGGTCGTTATGAGTCGGAACCGACTTGATGGGACTTAACAGCAGCGTTAACAACAACAGTTAAAACTCACCAGTCACTCTCAGAAACCCTACACATGGATGTTGTGAATCGGAACTGACTCGACACCAAGAGTCACCACCACCACAAGGTAGCCAGTTCAAAACCACCAGCCGCTCCTTGAGAGAAAGATGAGGCTTTCTGTTCCTGTGAAGCTTGACAGTCTCTGAAGCCCTATAAGGAGTCAGTGTTGACTCGATGGCAGTAGGTTGGTTGGTTTGTTGTAGTGGCTGACGCGGAGACCTGGTGGAGCCGTGTTGGGCTGCTAACCCAGAGGTCAGTGGTTCACATCCATCACCCGCTCTGTGGGAAAAAGATGAGACCACCTGATTCCATAAAGAACACAGTCCTGGAAATCCTATGGGCAGTTGGACCTCATCCCATAGGATCACAATACGTCAGAGTAGACTTGGTTATTGTTGCTAGGTGTCCTTGATTCGGTTCCGACTCATAGCGACCCAATGTACAACAGAACAAAACACTGCCCGATCCTGGGCCAGTCTCACAATTGTTGCCACGCTTGAGCTCATTGATGTTACCATTGTGCCAATACGTCTCACTGGGGGTCTTCCTATTTTTCGCTGACCTTCCACTTTACCTTCTCCACGGACTGGTCCCTCCTGACAACATGTCCAAAGTATGAGACAAGTCTCACCATTCTGACTTCTAGGGAGCATTCTGGCTGCACTTCTTCCAACACAGATTTGTTGGTTCTTCTGGTGGTCAGTGGTACTTTTTGGCAATGAGTTAATAGCTAATGGTGAACATCTTTTCATGTCTTCATCGGTCATATGAATATCCTCTTGGGGAAAATGTGTGCTCAAGTCCTTTGCCCACTTTTTCATTGGTTGTTTGTCCTCTTTTTCAGTTGCAGAAGTGTTTTGGTGTGGGTTGTTTTATATTAGACTCATCACATGTGTAGTTTCAGGATGTTCTTCCAATCTGCAGGTTGTTGTTTTGATGTGCTGACAAGTCTTTACCCTTTCAGGGTGCTATGACCAATTTCAGTGTTCCAGTGCTGACTCTGCCCCATCTGAACAGTCCCATCTGCCATCTTCTTAAGTCGTGTGGAGTTCTGTTGACCAATTTGAGAGGTTTAGATGGAGGTGGCGCCCAGTGATTGGAGATCCCATCTCACTCTTGGGGTCTGCTGGGAGGTGGCGGTGGGGGAGAGGGTCAGGATTTGTCTGTTCCCTTCCTTCCCATCTCCATGTCCCTTTCTTCCATTGGGGGAACTCCATCCTACCATCATCCTGCCCACACACATCCTTCTCTTCCCTTCTCGTCGCTCAACGTTCTTCCGAACCTCATACTGTTAAGGTCTGATGTTTCCTTGAAAGGAATTTGAAAGGAACAGGCGTACAATAGCGGCCATTTCAGGATGGAAATTGTGTTTCACGAGAACACGCTGTTTTTGAATAGACCTGTCCCTGCCATCTTCTTGGCTCATGGTGAACAGGAACGCCGCCTTGGGAAGCTAGCCAGCTCTGTCTTTTGTTCTTATTTTTAACTTATGATAATAGAATATTTTCAGTCCATGGCCTTCTGTGGAGTACGTGATTAATAATAAGGGTTGAGGCCGGAGAAGTGCTCAGTAACAGGGCTGTAATTACATTACGGGTTTCCAGCAACACGAAAATAAACCACAAACAAAGTTCAGCGTCTCCAGCACGCGCCCCCAAATTATAGAGCCGTGCTAGCCTCCCCTTGTTAAATGCCTCATCAGGGGAGATGATGGGGATATCATGTTTTAAATCAGAGAAAGTAAATCTGCAAGTCAAACACTCCAGCTCTTTCAAAGAGGATCTCTGGCCCCCAGTTCAATGGGAGAGGCCAGATAGTATCCGTGGCCTCTATTTCAAAAGCAGATCTTAATTGATGGTTAGCGATAAGAAAAATGGTAGGCGTTAACATTCATCTAAACTCCATGTGATCCTGTTTGCTCATAAGAAACCTTATTTATTTATTGTGTATGTTCTGACAAGTTTCCCTTCTTGCCCGAGCTCTATCCCCAGCAGTAGTTGCTGTTGATAGCTGCTGTGTGGTTGGTTCAGACTCACGAGGTCTCATGGACAACAAAACTGAATGTGGACTGGCCCTATGACATCTTCGTCTTATCCGGCATGTAGGAACCCATCCTTGACGCTGTTCGGGGGAGCCACCTCCTGGAGGCGTCTGCCTTATTTTTGCTGACCCTCGATTTTACCAACCTAGATGTCCTTTTCTCGTGAAGGCCTCTCCTGATGGCCTGCCAGGTCTCTTCTTCCTCGCTTCTATGGAGCCTTCTGGTTGTATTTCTTCCATGATTGGTTAGTAGGTTTCTGGCAGTCCACAGTATAATCGATACCCTTTATCACCACCTTCATAGCTCCAGAGCATCTGTTCTTCTGTCTTCCTTGTGACGGTCCACTTTTCCTAATGCATATGTGACAGGATGCAATAGATTCTCGTGGGTACCACACATCCAGATTGTACGCAGTAGTAGCATCGTTGTTATTAACAAGTTAATTCATTCTGATTTAGAAACTCACTTTCACTCAAACCCATCCATCTCCAGTTGCCCTCTGCCATATACCAAAAAAAAATCCAGACTCATTGCCTCAGAACCAATTCTAGCTTACGGTGGTGACACCACGTGTATCTGTTAATCCCTTTACAACCTACCACATCAGTCCTCTTACTTTCAACAGACCCGTCGTTTTTATATAAAGTGTGCCCTTTGGCAAAGCAATAGTCTGAAAGTTGGGGCTTCCAAGAGACAGTGGGTAGAGTCATTGGGAACGTGGAAGCCAGGTGAACGCTGACTAGTGGTCTGAACTTGGATGAGTGGCCGAAACTCCTTGTGACTTTCTAAAACTCAGTCTTCTCACCTATCCATTGGGGGTGAGGATAAGACCAGCTCTGGAAGACGTGGTGGTCAGAGGTGGGATTGGATTGCAGAACATGGCGCCCTGTAGTAGGGTTGGTGAGTGTTCTCTGTGTTGGCCACTCTCAGATAATGGATGTGGCCATGCCGCACCCTCATTTGATGGGAAGGACTGTTTGGAAGGAAAGATGTTTTAGTCCAAGGGTGGTATGGCTGATTGCCCTATTGGTTTGTTGCACAGGGTCATCGATGGACGAGACCTAATGCCTCTGCTCCAAGGGAGAAGCCAGCGTTCGGATCATGAGTTCCTCTTCCACTACTGCAACTCCTACCTAAATGCTGTGCGCTGGCACCCCCGAAACAGTGAGTACGCCCACCCGCCCATCTCCAAACCTCCTTCCCAGCCCTGCCCCAAGAATGGGTGATGGTAACTCATGGCATTACTCTACAGGGGTGCCTACAAGTGGATTCTACTTGCTTTCCCTCTTTCTGACAGCATACTCTTTCTCCTGGATGCATAGTTTTTAGGGAATCATGAGTAGTTTGGGGATAGAACATCTTACCTCCGATGTAGAAGAACCTGGTTCGATTCCCGGCCAGTGCATTTGATGTGCCACCATCACCCATGTATTGGTGCAGCACTGTGTGTTGCTGGGATGCTGAGCAGGTTTCAGTAGAATGTCCAGATTAAGAGAGACCAGGAAGAAAAGCCTGGTGTCCATCAGCTTCTGCAACTCCTGTGGATCTCAATGGTTCCATCCACAATTATCATGGGGTCATGCAGGACTGCTTTAGGGGTGACTAATAGCAATAAAAAAAACAATGGTACAGATCCCAAGGACTGGAGCAGTTAGTAACTCGTAAAGTCTTCACATCTGTGACTCGACCCATTAGCAGGTAGTGGCGTGTCCTTGAGGCAGCGGGGGCTCAGCAGTGAAGCCCTCACCTTCCAAGTGGGGTTCCCCCTCGTGCACCGCCACCACCGTCTGTCTGTGGAGGCCTGCATGTTGATGGGATGCTGAACAGGTGTGAGCAGTGCTTCTGGACTGAGAGAAAGCAGGAAGAAAAGTCTGGCAGCTTGTGGATCACAAGAACCAGGTGACCCTGTGGTCAATGGGACGGCACAGGGCCAGGCAGCATCTCCTTCCATTGTGCGCCGGGTCACCGTGACTGAGGCCAACTTGGTATCAGGCATAAGGACTAATTGGACAGTGTCTCTCACCTGAGTCAGGTCCCTAAGGGCTTCGCTTTCATGGCTGAACCCAGGCTCAGAAAGTGGCTTTCTTCTTGTCCAGCTGCCCCGCTGCTTCTCCTGGCCCTTCCTATTTATGCTCTACCCTGTTGCTGTTGCTTTATACTTGCTGATCCCACTGCCCGGAAGGACTGTCTGTCTCTTGGATGCTCCTCCTCTGTCTCTTGGATGCCCCTGCCTCCATCCCCCAAGACCCCAAAAGGAGCACCAGACGCTCTATGTAACTTACTGGTGCCTTGTCCTGCTTGGAAAGCCTTCTCTTTGCTCCTGTGGCATTGCTCTGAGCATGCTCTGTGACATTTAAATGCTCACCTGGGGTCTCGCTCTCCCCACCCTCCAAGACGGGGACCATGTCTTTTTAATGTCTACTTTGTCTCTGACCATCTATATTTGGGGCCATTGCTGTTGTTAGCTGATATGGTGTCAGCTCTCCACTAATGCCCGCTGTGCAGTCTACAAAGTGTGCTTGAACTCCATGGACAAATGACTCTCTTGACTTCACGCCCTTGAATGGGAGAAACCGTCGATTGTCTTTCATTTAGAGGATGTGTTGGGAGCTGTCACCTTCCTGGTTGCCCATGATAAAAACACGAATCCTTCTTTGGACTTAATGTGATTCAGTGGGAGAAATTTTGTTTTGTTTTGTTTTTTCATTCCAAGAATGTGCTAAGAACTTAAGTGTCCTTGTTAGAAGCTGGATGCTTTATATTGTGCAAACATGGATAATTCACTTGACTCCATTTACTAGTTGGAAGACTCTGTGAGGTGTTTTCCCATCATACAATGTACCAGGAACTTATATCGGTAGAAATGTGCTGCATAAGGTTTCCTTGACTCAAACCTATATCGAAACAGATTGCCAGGGCTTTCTTTTATGTTTTGACGTTTTATTGTGATTTGACTGAAGATCATCAGTTTTGCATTCAGAAAATCATACCCTTGATTTCATGTCAGTGATTGCAATCCCCTGATGAAACCTCCTCACTCATTCCACTTTCTCCCTGTAATTCTTGTTTCCATTTCTCCAGCTGCTGAATTTCCTCTTGGGTAAATGTTGCCTTTTTGATCATGAATGGTTGACCATTCCCTGATGTGCGTACCTCACTAGTTTTGTTGTCTCTTCTAATATAATTCTATCTATTGCTTGGCTGGCTCTGGTAGCATAGTAGTTACAAGTCAGGCTACTAACCTCAAGGTCAGCAGTTCAAAACTATCAGTAGCCACATTTTTCCTGAAGGTGGGAGCTTTTTCTCCCTACGGTATGCAAGAAGAGACAGCAATCATGGCCATATAGCCAAAGTACAAGTATACCCCATAATATTTCACTATTAAGACAAGAGCCAATAATACCTGCTAAGCATTACATGTAAAAAGGGAAGCCTATCTCCTGATCATATCTATCAGGAGATACCTAGTAAACTTAATAACACAGCAACAAACATCCATTTAAGCATTAAAAAACCCACATAACTACTGGAAATGACAAACAAAACAAAAGATCTCAAAACATGTCCAAAACCAGAAAAGAGTAACGGAAACAAATGAGCTGGAGACAGACAAAGGCTCCTCAGAAGAGGAAGAGCAGGTTTTGGATTTGCCTGAGAAGGGTGATATGGAAACAAATTCAATGCTCTGAAAAGGGGTGGAGAAAAACAAGGACGAAGTCAGGAAAGTACTACAAGAGCAATCAGACAAGATTGATACAGTATTGGAAACCATTCAAAACCTGCAAAAAGATGTCCAGATGATTAATAATAATATATCAGAAATGGACAATACAATGAAAGGGGAAAGGAGCAGAACAGAAGAGGTGAAAGCCAGAACTAGCGAGCTGGAAGACAAATCTATCAAAACTGTAAAGATAGAAGAGAAAAGGATAACAAAAATCTGAAGAGAGAGTCTAAGATTCATGCTGCATAACATGAAGAGGAACAAATTAAGAATCAATGTAAAGAAAACAAAACTCCTCACCACTAGACCAATAAACAACATTCTCATCAATGGAGAAAAGGTTGAAGTTGTCAAGGGCTTCATTCTTCTTGGATCAACTGTCAACACTCACGGAAGCAGCAGTCAAGAAATCAAATGACATATTGCGTTAGGCAAATCTGCTGCACAAGACCTTTTAAAGTGTCGAAGAGCAAAGGTGTCATCTTGAGTACTAAGGTGCACCTGACCCAAGCCATGGTATTTTCCATAACCTCATATGCATGCGAAAGCTGGACAGTGAATAAGGAAGACCATAGAAGAAATGACGCATTTGAGTTGTGGTGTTGGAGGGGAGTATAGAAGGTGCCATGGTCTGCCAAAAGAACTAATAGATTCGTTTTGGAAGAAGTGCAGCCAGAGTGCTCCTTGGAGGTCAGGATGGACAAACTTCATCTCTCATATTTTGGACATATTGTCAGAAGGGACCAGTTGCTGGAGAAGGATATCATGTTTGCTAAGGAGGAGGGTCAGAGAAAAAGAGGAAGACCCCCAACAAGATGGATTGGCCAAGTGGCAGCATTGATGGACTCAAGCGTGGCAACATTAGTGAGGTTGGCCTAGGGTTGGACAGTGTTTCGTTCTGCTGTGCATAAGGCTGCTATGGGTCAGTACCGACTCAATGGCACCTAACAACAACAACAGCATTCAACACAAGGAGCTCTGGTAGCGTTGTGGTAACAAATAGGGTTGGGAACCTTAAGGTCAGCAGTTTGAAACTACCAGCCGCCCTGTGGGAGAAAGATGAGGCTTTCTGCTCCCATAAAGATTTACATCCTTGGAAACCCTGTAGAGGGTCACTATGGATCAGAACCAACTTGACATCACTTAACAACAGCAATATTCAGCACAAACCATGCAGGCAAGAAGACAATATGGAGACATATCCAAAACCCTAAAAGAAAGAAAACTGCCAACCAAGAATCATCTATCCAGCAAAACTATCCAGCAAATACGATGGTGCAATCAAAACATTCCAGGATAATCAGAATTTAAGAGATTTTATCAAAACCAATCCAGCACTTCAAAACATACTAAAGGGAATTCTTTGGACTGAAAACAAACAAGAACAGACAACAACCAGAGATTGACAGGCGCGGCAACATCACCTGGAACTCAGTCGATGGATAGCAGAGTTCAGAACAGAACAAAACTACAACAACAAATTCAAAGGAGCTGAGAGGTCAACCAAAGATCAAAACAGTATCAGTGTCAATAAAGGGATAAATGTAGGAGCAGAGATTCAAGTGGTGAGGATGTCAGGTAGATTACAGGCTACAATAGATTCTCTTAAATGGAGAGAAAAGTTAGTAGACTATAAGGTAACCCCAAAGCAAGTTAATACTTCACAATTTACCATGAAAATGAACTTCCAAGCAGAACAAGCAAACATGAATACCAAGAAATAGCACATAAAACACCAACTCAGCACAAGAAAACATGCAGAACAAAGGAATAAACAGCACTACCAAAAAATTAACATAATGGCAGCAATTAATTCATATTTATTGATAATCACATTGAATGTCAATGGATTGAATGCACCAGTGAAGAGACAGAGTGGCAGAATGGATAAGAAAACAAGACCTTTCAGTATGCTGCCTGCAAGAGACACACCTTACACACAAAGACCAAAACAGACCTGCTACAATTTGATGAAGTTGCCCTATACTTACGTGGATGTAGTAGCTCAGAAAAGGGAACAAATCTTTACAACGAGTACCACTCCCACCCCCTCGGTACATAGGGTTGATATGGATGGGCAACTTAGACATTGGCCAATGGGTTGGGACCAGGCTGGCAAAAGGAAATGGAGATAAGACTCTTGTGGTACAATAGTGAATTATTGCCATCAGGACTGACGGTAAGGGTAGGAAATATAGAGGTAGATGGTTTTTGACAAAAGGAGGAGAGTGATTGATTTTGCAGCCCAGGAGCGGAGGTCCCTGGGACCATCAAGTGAGAAGAGTGGAGAGCAGGACCCTACCCAGAGACACAGTGACACCAGGGATGGAGACAGAGACGATGACATGGACAGATGGAGTGACTGGGGACACTGGACTCAGGGAAGGAGAAGGGCTGTGTGCTGGTGGCCGTGGATGGGGGAGCCTGTGTGGTATACCAT